TATATATATATATACACATATATATAAATGTATATATAATTAGGCATATAAGATCAGAGGTGGAGTATTTTATAAGGGCTGCCTGCACTCTGGAGAGCTGAGGAATTGAGTAGCTGCTCAGCCCAAGGAGCTGGAGGCTGTAGAATAAGAGGAGTCAAGGATGCAGCTCCAGTCTGAGACAATGCCTGGGAGCTCCCTAGAGAATGACTAATTGAAATTCTGAAGAAACTGGTGTCTGATATTCTCAGGCAGGGGAAGTAGGAAAAGATGCATGTGCTGAAAAACAGACCGACTTCCTCCTCCTTTCCCTTTCGTTCTATCCAAGCTATAAGCCTACGGAACAGTGCCACCCACAAACAGGGTGGCTCTTTCCTCCCTTGGTTTGCTGGCCTAAATGCAGATTAGCTCAGAAAACATCCCAGACACACCTGGAAATGTGCTATACTAATCTGTTAGACATTTCTTAAGTCAAGCTGACAAGCAAAATTAATGGCTGTAGCAGTCTTAAGTGAAAGAACCAAGCTAGAGGCATTGCAGTACCTAATTTCCAGACACATACATAGCAGAGCTATAGTAACCTAAAAATATTTTGGGCTTAAAATTAGACACACACAGACCAATGGAAGAAGACACCCAGAAATAAGCCTACATAACCACAGCCAACTGATGCTCAAAAAAGGCACCAAAAACATACATTGAAGAAAGGACAGTGGTGCTGGGAAAATTCAATATCCATGTACTGAAAATTAACACTTGCCCTTACCTCTCACCCGGTACAAAAGTCAGTTCAAAATGGATCAAAGACCTAAATGTAAATTCTGAAACTACTCCAAAAAATCATAGGGGAGACACTTTAAGACATAGGTACAGACAGTGATTTTTCTCCACAGGTCCCCAAAACACAGGATATAAAAGTAAAAGTTGAAATATGGGATTATATCAAACTAAAAATCTGCACATCAAAGGAAACAAAAGTACAAGAGAAAATATTTACCAGCTATTCAGCTGACAAAAGGTTAATATTCACAATTTAAAGACAAGCTATCCAATTTAAAAATGAACAAGGGATCTGAACAAATAATTCTAAAGAAATACAAACTAGCAATATATAGAAAAATGCTCAATGTCATTAGCCATCAGGAAAATGCAAATTGAAATTGAAATACTAGAATGACTGTTTTTAAAATACTGGCAAGATGTGGGGAAAAAGGAACTCACACTGTTGGTGGAAATGTAAATTAGAGCAGCCACTCTAGAGAACAGTGTGGAGACTCCTTCATAAATTAAAACTACCATATGATCCAGCTGTCCCATTCCTGGGTATATATACATCCAAAGGAAATGAAATCAGCATACCAAAGATACCTGTGTGCCCACATTTATTGCTGTACTATTAATACTAGCTAAGATATTGAATCAGCTTAACTACCCATCAACACACAAATGAAGAAAATCTGGTACATATACACAATGGAACATTCAGCCATAAAAAATAAAATCCTGTCATTTGCAACAAAGTGGATGAAACTGGAGAACAGTGCAGTATGCTAAGTGATATATAAGGCAGACACAGGAAGTACTGCATGTTCTCTCATAGGTGAATACCAAAGTCAATCTGAAATTAGAATAATGGGTAAGAATTGGGAATGTGGGGGTGGGTGACTGAATATGATCAATGCACACTGTTTATCCCCATTAATACATTAGTAAAAAAATTTTAAAGACCACTGTAATATTAGTAAGGCCCATAACTTGATACCACCCTAATATATCACAGGAGAAGGGTTGAGAAAACATTTTTTGCAATATAATCAGTGCAATGCTAGTCAGTAATAAAAAAGGAAATATATTATGGTGAACAAGCAGTAACATGAATGAATCTCGGCAGCATGCTAAGTGAAAGGAGAAAGGAATGCTGATGTGATTTTATCTGTAGGGAGTTCTAGATTAGGAAGAATCTATGGTACTAGAAATCAGAGCAATTGGTTCCAGCAGAAATGGGTTTAGTGGGTTCCATCTGGAGTGATGGAAATATTTTAGCATCTTGATAGTGATATGGATTAAATGTATGCATTTTTCAAAACAGAAGGAACTGTATGCTTAAGATTTGTGCTTTTCTCTGTAATTGGATTCTATCTCTATTTTTAAAAATCTAAAAAGTATAGACTCTTCTAGGGCATAGTATCAGAGTTCTCATGGTGGAGAACAAGGCAGACAGTTAATAAGAAAGGTCTCAGCTGGTAGCACAAACTTCAATGACTTCTGCAAATCAGCATTGTATAAATAATTATTAATATATATGCTAATCCCTGGAAACTAGTGTGAATGGGCCAGAAGAGGGAGGACACATTAATTCATGGTTTTTCAAAGAATACTTTGAAGAGCTGAATAGTCCCCAACCGCTGAAGTAGGTTGCGCAATGTGGCACACATTTATTAGCATTGATTTATATGTTCTTTAAAGGTACCATGTGCTGGCAATTACAGCCCCAATAGTCAAAGCTCTTTGATGGTCCAGTAAGATAGTTTTAAGCCTGTATGAGGGGGTGAGAGGCATTTAAATGGCTGTATTAAAAAGATATCTCTTGCTAAGCCTATGAAGATGCCTTATCTTTAATCTAACAAGTGATTTCCCTTTGTCTCCCACAGGGGCACAAGGTGAAGCAAAGAAACAGAGAAATGAAACTCAGTGACAGTCCTCAGCCTGGCAAGGCCTCCCTTGTTCTTGGGAAGTGAGGGGAGATGAGAGCTGCACTGTGCAGGAGGGCGGGGGTGGGGGGAGGAAAGTCCCTCAGAGGAAGGACGGGGATCCTTTGCTCTAATTTCTCCACCTGCATTTTGTTCTGTTTACCTGGCAAAATTGAAAGAAAAAGCCTCCTTATCTAGTTGGGAGGACCCATGCTAACACATCTTTCAGGCACTGTCCCTATCACTTCCTTTTTCTCTCAAACTTTGCCCCAGGGGCCAGTGGCAGATTTTAACCCTCTCTTGTGTCTCCCGGCCCCTGTCTGCCGTCTGCCTTCTCGGTTACTTCACAAAGCTGGCCCTACAGTGCTTTCTTCAAAGAAAGAGGAGGAAGATGACTGACAAGGTGCAAGCCAAATTTCAGCAGTGACAGAGCCCAGTGTCAATATAACTCACAGGCAAAGGAGGGAAGGACAGAAAATGGGAGAAACTCTTAGAATCCACTTTGAAAAGGTTTGAATGATGAGCTTAAAATGTGTTATTCAGGGTTGCCAAGATACGGTTTGTCCCCTATAACTAGTGAGGCCTGAAGAAAGAGGCTTTTAACCCAGAACAGAGCATAGAGGTGTAACAAGGAATCTAGGTTCTACGTGGCCACTGGGGTCCCTTCATGGCCAGGTGGCACACAATGTTGACTTTCAGCAGAGTTTATTTGGTTTGTAACTCTTACTATGTGCTTCAGCACAACGCCTGGCAGTGAGATGTATGTAGGATGATTGAAATACATGTTTAAAGTTTTAGACATTACACTAAAAAGACACACTATTAAAAATTCCTCTGAAAACACTGCCTCTCGCTTATCCCATCACTGTTGTCCTTCTCTGCAGCAGTTCTGGACATCCTTTCTCCTGTCTTGTATGAGGTGTGATAAAAAAACTCAGTGAATGATGCTGCCGAGTGCCATCCAAAACAAAGGCAGGCTGGTAAAAACATTAGTGTGTGTCCTCATCCACAGTTTCCACCAGCTCTGGCATGGTTGAAATGTGGCTCTTCCTTAGAGTCAAAATGACCTTGAAAGGTGATCATTTTGAATCAATCACGGCTATCAAGACAGCCTTGATGACAGAAGTCAAGACACTCATGACAGAGGACTTCTAGAACTGCTTCAAAAAGTGCCAAGAATGACGGAGTGTGTTCAAAGCGAGAGAGAGAATTTTGAAGGGAATTAATGGGGACTGGGGATGTAGCTCAGTGGTGCCGCGCCTGCCTGGCAAGCACAAAGTCCTAAGGCTGATTGATCCCACATACCAAAAATAAAAATACAAAAAGGATTAGTGGCAATGTGCCTCTTACTACAAATTTTAAAAATTTAAACATAGTTTTCAATTACAACAGTAACAATGGAAAAGTTAGGTGTTGTCAAGAACTAAATGGGGTTGCTACATTTAGGACTCAAACATATGCCTATTTTGAAATGTCCACTTGAAATCTCTGTTTTTCACAATGTAAGAGCCCACATTTTACTCAAGGATCCATAGCCACCCAGCAGAAGCCCGTGGAAAGTTAGAATCAATCAGAGCATTTACTTGCAGCGCCGGCTCTCGGTGCTCATTGTGTGGTGTGTTCTGTTCACACCCAGTTCCAGGCTAGCTGCTTCGACAGCTGATTCCCTCACTCAGAAAACCACTGAATATAGCCCATCAGGGGAGCAGCATACTAACAACAAAGCATGCCCATGGAGTGGTGGGCACAAGCAGGGATGACCAGGAGTCATCATACGTATCTATCCCAGGACCAACATAAAGCAAGGTTCTTGGTTCCAAGGCCATTCCATATTTTCTGAAATCCCTCTTCCATAGAAGGAGAAGAGTACTTAATCAACTTGAGCATTTCTAAAAATGACAGGATATCTGTTTCCTAAATATCCCATCCATTTCATTTCTGCTCTTTCCTCTTTGAAAAAAGGCATCTTTTTGTCTTTCGATGACTCGCTCTGGCTGTTCTCGATTTATTGCCCATCCTGGCTTAGTTGGTATACTGGAATAATTAGCAGATTTATAACTCTGCATATATGTGTCATATATTTTAATGTATCTTATTTTTTAAAGTTGTTCATCAACACAGCAGTAATGATATGGAAGTGATTTCATGAAGTCGGAATATGGCCATTTCTCTTCCGGTCATTATTCTACAGTTTGAAGCATGTATGTCTTTTATTGACACTTGACATTGCTTTCTGGAAGAGCAAAGGCAAGGCTTATTTTGAAGCATCTAAGAAACGATGCCATCCAAATATTGACAGTTTCTATATTTCATGCCTTTTATAACTCAGTTGAAAGTCATCATTCTTGTGAAGTGCCTGACAAGTGCAATCTGCTAGGAACTTGTTTTCCAGTGACTCCCAATGTTAGCGCTACTCAGCCTCCATAATGAATTATACTTGAAAACAACGAGGAGAAAAGAGGGACAGAGGTTTTTTTGAGGGACTAAGATGAAAAGCACCCAATAGTCTTGCTAGGAACAGCCAGGATTAGAGTTATTCCAGTCCAGGTACTCTCTCTATCATCAGTGACAGCCCGTTTAGTCATTTTACCCACTTTAGTGGGTAAAGAATGCAGAGTAAGAATTTCATTGGTCTGAAAGATGTAGAAAAGGAAAAGTATGGGGCTAGGGATTTAGCTCAGCAGTTCGGTGGCCTGCCTTGCAAGCGCAAGGACCCGAGTTCAATCCCCGGTACCAAAAAAATAAATAAATAAATAAATAAATAAAAGGAAAAGTAATCTTTGTATCCAGAAAACTAAGACATTGAAGCATATTACCATCCCCATTCCTGAATTTGTTTAAACTATTTTGTGATTAGATTGCAATTTTATTTTTGTTTTATGCCTTCTGGTTGCTATTTGGCTATATGATTTTATGCTTTAAAACAACAGTTAATTTCCATTCTAATAGTGAAATATAAAAATCTAGCTATTGGCCAGATGGAAGATATCTTAACACAGGGAAGCCTCTATTTGCTGGGGTTGTCATTGCACAGGCTATACAATGGAATAAATTCAAAAAGCTGACTGACATCCAGAATCCATGTGCAGGAAAATCAATTTTCAACCCTACTTCAGTCAGGTTAGGTGGCTTGAAGGATTACAGGAGGGAGGGAGGAAAACAGCCTGTATGAGTCATGTTTGCATACAGAGTATTGAAGTGGGCCTTCAAAATAACAGTCCTAATTAAAAAGGTACTCACTTTGGGAGAGACACAGGCACTATTCCTCTAGCTGCTCATTATTCAGATGACAGACAAGTCCTCTTTCATAAAAGTTTAAAAGAAGGCACCCGAAACACTGTCTGTGATACTGGGTCACATATTAATCACCACAGCTAATGGTAAATGTTTCTGTGAAGCACTGAAAAGCCTCTCTGTGAATTAATACAGTTCTGCTTGATGCATTTGATTTGAAAAGACATTTCTCTGTATGTGGTGCATGTCGGCTGTGCTTTGAAAAAATAACAAAGTTAGCAGGATATGTCCAATATATTTTCTTGGGGAATAGGGTTTTTATCATATGACTCATTAAGGATTTGCCTTACCCTAACATTTGTGATATAAAGGAAAATCAGAATAAAAGTAATTTTCTTGATCAAGATATGTTTTTACTTAATGCAAATAAATGTAGTCTGTGGCTTGCAAGGGGAAATTGTCTTCTGGTATAAACTGCTAAATAGGATAAAATGTGCCTCTTTTGTTTAACCAGCCTGGGAGTGCTGGACTGCTTCTAAATCTGTCTGTTTCTTTTCATCTGTGCCATACACTAAAACACTTAAACAACTGTTGCCTTCATACTATATTTGTTAGAGCAGAGTGCAAATAAAATTTGTTTGAGAGAATAACATGGAATTATCTGTTTCATGAAATTTATTCTTTAGCCATATGTATTTAATAACTCAAAATGTTCATTTAATACTATATACTAGTTGGTTGTAAATATGTGTATTTAAAATTGCCTCTAAGTCAACTTTCACCTATTAATATTATTTCCTTATTAAGTCAGTGTTCTGAAGGTATTTGTCAAACTTTTCAAACTATACTAGATAATTAACTGCCTTACCTACAGCTTCTGAGAAGCAGGCATAAGTTGTTGAGATATAAAGCCAATGGTTTCTTGAACACTGTCCATCTTTTGGGAGCCACCAGCCCATGCTGGAATTCATGTTGAGCATCTTCTATGAGCTGTCTCTATGCTGGCCATGTGATCATGGTGGCCAGGATGTTGATAAAAGTATAGCAACGAGCTTCCAAAAATCATTATGAAAATATTCAATATTCTCTTAAAAAGGCAAATACATACATATTCCATCAAATTTAATTCCCTGTATCTCTTACAGAATAGATTAGGGTTATTGTTCTAGAAGGCAATCAAGTCACCCTTTTATCGTGCAAAACCAGAGATGTAAGTATTTAAGGAGAATAAGATTTTCTAAACTGCCACACCGAGCATTTTCCTAGTAGTAAACAAAGTTTGATGAGAAAAAAAAATAGATGATAGATAGATAGATAGATAGATAGATAGATAGATAGATAGAGATAGATAGATAGATAGATAGGAAAGTCTCATGCTGCTAGGGCAACCTCAACACAATGCTTTAGGATAACCGTGAAGGTAATCTGACATGATTCTGGCACTAAGTCCAGTTTTTCATCTGCACCCAACTTCTCCTGTCATTTTCTGTCACATTTCTCTCTCAACCCTTGTACCCATCTCCTTTCCACTGACCACAGGTAAAATTAATCATTCACTAACTTCACTGGTGGCTCTGAGGGCTCAGAAGGATAATGACACCCATTTAAATTCATCTTGCTAGGACTCTGGCCCGGTTGTTAGCTTTGAGAAATAAAGTGCCTCCATTTCATGGTCTAGAAAATGGAGATACTGATACATACATGAACGAACTTTTAAATTTAAATATAAAATGCCAAGATATTAGACTTGTTTGCAAAAGGATCTGGTAAGTTATTTGCATTAGATTTTGCTGTTCTCTAGGCAAATGGTCCTTTCTCCAGCTCAAAACTGTTTACCAAAGTAATAAATAGTCCTTGCACTTAAATAACTAGTAGACATAAATCCTATTCCACTGAAGTTGATTTAAACTTTGTCTCCAAATTAAGGACCCATGAAGATGAAATCATTGTTTTGTTTGTTTTTTGCTGTTGAGGATTTGAGTTCTTAAAACGTGCACACTAAGTATTCGTTAATTTGTTAGAGCCATCTTTTTCTCTACAGTAATAACTGTAGTGAATCTAAGCAAGGTAAAAAGGGGATAGGTACAGCTTTTAACTCTGGGCTATCAATACATGGAAGAGTACATATTTACGAACATAATTATACCAATGTTCACTTACCTTCGCTGTGGTAGGAGTATACATCTCCATCCCAATGAAATTGGATGCGCCTGTGTGACTTGTTTCCTCCAATGACATGTAGGTATTAATGGCATGTTCATGCTTAGCAGCAGCTTGAAGATTCTCATTCTTTGTCCCTATCAACAATCAGCAAAATCTCAGGCTTCTCCATTTGCATAGACCCTGCAAAGATGAAGAATTTCAGGAAACTCCATTAGGAAGATGACATACGTGAAAAATAAACATATTTTGAGACTGGGGAAGGGTCATTTGTTTCAACAGCACAACACAGCCTATACTAACTGATACATATGCCATCAATTCTTCAAGTCTAAGAATCTGTATCATCTGATTCTCCAACCCTACCTTGTGACGCTTTCAACCCAGTTTACAGTGTTGCCTGTATATTGATAGTTTGTCCATTCCTAGAAGATAAATCCTGTTCAGCCTCAAAACTTTGAACGTAAAAGCTCTTTTTTTACCCCATTGTAACACCCTTGAGATCTCAGATGTATATCACTTCCTAGACGCACCTCCTTCAACTATCCTATTTCAAAGTAGATCCCCTTCCCCGACTCTATTTAACTCCATATTTACTCCTTCAGAACACTAACAATTTACAGTTGCTTATTGGATTATAGGACAGAGACAAAAATCTATGTGTTATAATTCAGTTGGCAAAATGATGTGGCCCTTCTCTCCAAGAACTGATTAGAAGGGAATGCAGGAAAATAATTATATTTATGCATTAAAAGTATCTCTTTTTCAGTTTAAAATACTCATTTGGGGGATATTCTGTTGTTGAAAGTTTAAACTCCCTACTG